TAAGCTCACTTTGTTAAATAAATTCATATTTAATCGATTTATTGAAACACGAAATTTATTTTAAGTTCGAAAAATAGCTAAGTGTTGACATTTCATGACGATGTGAAAATGGAGTGCGTAGAGTAAAATCTTGCTTTCCTATAGTCCATTATGTCTCAAAATGACACGATTTTGTCACAAAACATAAAATAAAAAACTTCTAATTCGAATTTCGAAAAAATCGCTTCGAGGTGCACTGGCTTTTGTCTGGATGCACCTATGCACCAAATTTCGTAGCCGTGGGTCTATTAGCTTACGCGCAGCACGAATGAAACACACACACACATACAGACAGACTCTTTGTTTTATTATATGTAGAGATGAAATACTAATATATGCTATTATTGCCTTAGTTTTAGTGTTTTTTAAACTGGTAAGATCAATCACTAATGCAATTTAAACTGTTATTTGACTTGCCATGGTTAAGTCAAAATTAGAATGAACTATATAATAAAGTCAATTTACACATATGAGTAAGTGATATTACATAAAAGTAGATGCACATCACTATTTCAAGCCTACCTAGAATTCATAAGCTTTTTCTTTAAAAGAAACAGTTACAAATTATTCACTATATAATTTATACATCTGAATCCTTGCAAAGGCATTTTTAACTAAGCTGGAAATCAAAATTTACATTTATTGAAAGCTCATGCTCTGAAATAATATTAAAAGAAATTTAGGTGGACTTAAATGAATTTGTTACATTATAATCCTTAACTATAGTAGCTCTTAAAATATTTAAGCAATGAGAACTCATTAGTTGATAGATATTTTTAAAATCTATGGTATTAAAAAGATAATTTAACGAATTTCTGAATTTCAAAGAATTACTGAAAGCTGACAAAGCTAAATATTTAACAAGAAGTAAAGATAAATTATAATTTATTATCTTACATATAAAAGAATTAAAGAAAATTAAAATATACTGCAAATAAAAATATGAACAAAATAAAAATTACCATAAAATTATTTCAGTCATTGTTTGCTAAATGAAAAGCAATTTCTTTTTTCTGTTTTTACTGGTATGTTTAAAATTGAAACATGGTTTAATGAAACAGAAAATAATTATTGGAAATTATGAAAATAAAATCTCCATTTCACTTCCAAAATATTCTTGCACATACTAAGTGGCAATTCATCAATTTAAGTTTCCTGAAGCTTATTTTTTTTTTTTTTTTTTTATTTTTCCCTGAAGTAGCAGATCAAAGTATCAGATGTTGGGAGCTCTAAGAACTAAAAATGATACAGTGCAAAGGCTTAAATCTAGACATTCGTTATTTCGACTTTCAGTTTCCAAATAATTTTTTTAAGAAATTTTCTTGCAAAAGAGGAGAAAGAAATTAGATTCTGAAAATAGCATCTTGATTTAGTATACGCCTAATGTTTCATGCATAAACAATAGATATTTTTTATAATTTAATATGTAAAAGTCTCAATTCTTAATTTCAGCTGGGCACTAAATAAAACGTCTCATGTTGAAGAAACACAGTCATTTAAATTTATAATGATCAATAATTTGCTGGCTCCATAGTTACTGTTTTCTTGGCATACATTTTCATTGCTGATTATATACCTAATTAATAACTTACATTCCTGACACTAAACTCACAATAATTTATTTTTTGCTTTCATCACCATGTGACTATCAACTCATGACAGCTTGAGAAATGACTCATGCAAGAATGTCTGCAGTTTTTTTTTTTTTTTTTTTTTTTTTTATTATTATTATTATTTTTTTATTTATTCTTTATGTTAGCAATTGAATGCTACAGCATGGTAACCTTTTATGGTGATATTACACTTGGTGACAATTACAGACTTATCCAATTGTTTAGCAGAGTGTTGATTATGTTGAGGAGGAGAAATGAATTTCTTTCAATATGCAAAAGAAAAAGGTTTGGTAAATGATATTCACAGGCTAAGAGATAACATTTAGTACCGTTTGAGTTAAAAATAGTTGATTTGTTATTTGGAATAAGGATATGTGGGAAATAGGCATAATAATAATAAATAAATAATATAATTCAGACCTAATTTTTACTGGGCATGATAAAAAAAAGCAAGACAAAATTTAGCAGAACAACATATCTTCAGTCGCCAATCTCATGGTGCATCACTAATAGTGCAGTACAAAGTCCAAGATCTGGATTTGTTTGGACTTCGGCGATCCTGAATATGGTTTCTTTTCCGGATAATAGATCATCAGATTAAATCTAGTAAGATGACATGTAGAAATTATAAAATAAAAAATGTGAAATCATGATTTATGAAATAATGAAGCATTTATGATCTAAAGGGTATCAAAATTTACAAAAACAAAGGCTTAATATTTATTTGTTTACTTTATTAAATTTGAAATAATAATAATGAATGCTACATAAAAATTTTAGCCGCTGTACATTATTGGCTATGTATCATGAGACTGGCGATGAATGGCAAGTTGTTCTGCTAAATTTTGTCTTGCTTCTATTGTGCAGTGAGCCAGTTAAGCCTGAATTGTATAAGTTTAGTTATTTATTATACTTATGTCTATTTATTGTATATGCTTGAGGCTTATCTGAGTCCTGAATAAATTTCCACAGGTACTTAAAAGGTTTTGCTGCCCTTAAATTTTGTGTTTCTGTGCTTTCTCTAAACTCTAACAATCTTGTCATCCCTTAATTTTGTTGCTTGGTGCTTCTCTAAATTCCAAAAATTTTGTCTTCCGTAAATTTTGTTATCTCACTGTTGCCAATCTAAATATTTTGTATCTGGATCTAAGTACATGGTGTCCATAATTAAACTTGAAATTTGAGAGCAGTCTGTAGCAAAAACTATACAAAGGAATTGCATGAAAATTGGGTAATAGCAGAATGAAATTATGGGAATTTTATCTAGGGGAAAAACACAATGAGTTTCAAAAACCACCCCTAGGTGGCATATCATAGCTTTATTGAGAATATATAAATAATCTACAAAAGTCTACAAACCATGCTTGATATGATGTCCACCACTGTCTGATACCATCTGGAAGCGTAAAATTGCATGTTCGGCTGTTGGAAGCACCACAAGCTCGGTAATGTTATGGATATGGCATTCCATGCTTTCTTTAAGGTCAGACAGACATGTGATGGGATCACGGTAGACCACAGCCTTGAGGTATCCCCACAACCAAAAGTCGCAAGGATTCAAGTTGAGGGGGGGTCTAGGAGGCCAAGTTGTAGGAAATTGCCGGCTGATGATTCTGTCGTCATCGAAATGATGCCAGAGCACTTGTTTCACACAACAGGCGATGTGTGAAGGAGCACCATCCTGCATAAAAACTGTGGTTGTATCACATGGCCTTGCCTGAAGACCCAGAATAATGGATTGCTCTAATAATGAAGCATATTGTTGACCAGTGACGGTGCATGTCATAGGCTGTGCGGCGGTGTGCTCTTCGGAGTAAAAAATGGACCCACAATGAAGGTTGCAGTAAAGCCGCACAAAACCATTACATGTGAAGAGTGTAATTGAATTTGTAGAAATTTATGTGTATTTGTAGCAGCATAAATGTGCCAGTTATGCATATTAACCGCACCTTCCATATGAAAGTGGGCCTCTTCAGTCCATAAAATGTTCCATGGCCATTCATCCTGGACCTCAACTCGCGCAAGAAATCGCAATGCAGAACCGATTATTCAGATCAACTGGTAAAAGCTGCTGCAGTAGCAACAGTTTATGGCAATAGTAGCATAAGACCTTTTGAATAATTTTATTAACCGTGGAATGAGGTTGGTCAATATATGCTGCAATATGCCAAACACTAGTGCTGCTGATGATTCGGGATGTGTTTTCCTACACTTGCTTCCCTACATCATCCACTACCTGTGCTGCAACACACTTTCGTCCTCTTCCTGACTGAATCCCCATTGTTCCTGTTGCTGCAAATTTCCTAATCATGTTTGTTAGTCCTTGACTAGTGAATGGACCTTTTCGTAACCGCTTCAAAGACCGAAATTTCTGCCAAGCTTCGATAGCAGTCTCCATTTTGGTAAAACAATTTCACCAGTAAAGCACGTTCCTACAGAGTCGACGTCATCTTTCTTGACTTGGAAATGAGTATGACTGCAGTTTGCCTCTCAACTTTATAGGGTTGCTGTGCATGCACAAGATTAGTATGGTTACAATATTTGCAAATGCCAATAGTATACATTGCACGCCATGTAGTGGTGTGTTTGAAAGTCGTTGTCCCCCCTCGGTAAAATTCCCATCATTTCATTCTGCCATTACCCAATTTTCATGCAGTTCTGCTGCATAGTTTTTTCTACAGACTCCTCGCAAATTTCAAGTTTAATTATGGAGACCCTGTACATTCAATGTTGTCTAGCATGTGGCATAAGAAACGAACTGAAAACAAAACTGAAATAAAAGTAAATTAATATAAAAATTTTAAAAAGTAAAATTCACAAATTAAATAATAATTTATATTTAGTTCATTGGAACAGGTATATCTTGATGACTGATTTCAGATAATAGCAGTTTTTTATTATATAATTTAAAAAAAATTTAAATGCTTTAAATATTGTATTATTATATTTGAGGATTTCTTTGGTTAGTTTTGCAGTTCATCCCGTATAATTTGGAAACATGGCTATATGTTGTTATAATTCTTTCGGCTGCTTTGATAAGAACAAAAGAATGATCAACTATTATTTCATATTTAGTGGACTTTAAAATTAATTTACTTTTATTTCAATTTTTTTCCAAGTTTTAATTCAATTGTTTTTAATTTATGCCTTCCTGTTAGAAAATTCCCCACTTCTGGTTAATATTCATAATTAGTTCACTGGTATTAATTTCATGTATGTTATCTTTTTCTTAATTAATTTCGCAGCATTTTGCTCAACATTTAATAGTATCTACCAATTAAGTGTTACACAATTTCTGATCTCTATTGTATTCTAGACACTGATAAGCTGAAAATTTGATCTTTTTAGAAAGACATGGGATCCATGAACCTGTGTTGTTGAAAAAAAGACAGGCAAAATATATCAAGATTTTAAAATATCAGATGATTGTGCATGACAGACAGCCAGAAGTTTTTGAGATATTGATATCTATGTTGCCAGAGCTACATAATCTGGGGCAGAAGCATGATGAGTACCTAAAAAGAATATGGTCTAATTCTTCTAGGAATGATATACCTCTTTTGTTAGCTGAGGTATTTGATTTTTTAAGTGATGATCAAGATTTCAGCAACTATTTAGGAAACTAAATATTCTAAATAAAAGTTTATGTTCTGCATTGAAACAGAACTCCCTTCCCCAGCCCTGTGACTTTCCTTTTGCATATTAGACTGTGAAAGTTTTATTATTAATATTACTAAATGTTCTCTTTCATATGTTTTGTTTGTAGCATAGAACCAAAGATTTTGACCATTACTGAAAATATTATACATGAGTAGAATATAGCTCATTAGACACTTTCTATACACTTATAAATGTTCATTTATTTTAAAAATGCAGTGCAGAGTTTGAGATCAATGGTGACCAAGAATCTGGCAGTTTCAAATTATGAAAATATCCAGATTTTAGATCATTAATTATGTGGCGTAGTTGTTTGTGAAACAATGAAGCTTGTAAATGACCTTAAAGGAACCAAAATTTAGGAGAAAAAGCTCAATGTTTATTTTGTTTTAGTAAAGATTTCTTTTAATATAAATTGCTTAATTTTTAATTTTGCCAGATAGCCCCCTTTTTTTTTTTTTTTTTTTTTTTTTACCATATTCAAGTAATTTAACCTAACCTAATGAATCACAAAATTATACTTTATAAGTCCTGCTACTGACATACCAAGAATTCTAACTGAATAATCATTTGAAATTTTGTCTTTCTCAGCAACCTCTTTATTACTTTATTCACTGCCTATGGCAATGTTTTCTTGATTCAAAACCATATTACAGACTTTGCCATCCATTAATTGACTGATGATTGGGGCATTATCATCACAATAAAGACTTCAAATTATGTCACTTTCATTTAGTATTTATTTAAGTTCTATTGACTATAAAATTTTTCAGTTTTACATCAAAGCTACAATATCTGCCCCCTTTTTATTTATTTATTATTCCTGTATTTTCTTAGCGCCAGGCATTGTTTTGGTTACTTTCCTGATGCAATCATGTTTTTAATATCTAATCAGTTTTTTTTAATTAAATTTTCATGATTTGGGATTTGCCTGGAAATGAATAAACAGCTGTTATATTTTTTTAAGAAAGAGGTATTCTGTTAAGAAGAAAAGAAAGAGAAATTCTACTTTTGAGAAAAAAGATTTTCTACATAAAGACATTTCTGAATCATTTTTGCATGAAATTAAAATGCAACTCAAAGTTGAAATGGTGATATTTTTTGGATTTAAAACCATACTACATATATTAACTGTTTTGTTTATTGATTGAGGCATTGTTATTATAATGTAAGACTTCAGTTATATCACCTTCATTCAGGACTTCTTCTCATAATCCATTAATAGGAAAGTTTTGCTCTTTACTTATGATATCTGGAAACCTTCAAATTTTCAGCTATCTATATCGTAATGCAATTTAATTACTGGTTATAAATTATGCCAAGCATTTTTAAGCACATCTCCAGGCATGTCCTTTCATGATCTTGCAATGAGCCACATGACTCTGGCAAACACAGTTCATAAATGACCACCAGCGCAGATGCGCAATCAGAGAGTAATAGTGCTACAATTTTCAATCAGTGAAATAATTGGAGCATTTTTGAGATTGATAGGTAGAGTTAAGCTGTGTATGCAGTGGTAGGTAGCAGTGAGAATTCAAACAATATTAGTAAGGTGAGTGGATAACAATACCTCCAACGAAGTAATAGATCTTCTAAGGCGAGTCTGAAGAAGGAAGAATTAAATGGATGACACTCTCAGTCAGTGTCCAGTCACATGATCACAGCTTCCATACTGAAATGCTTAAAGAATAAAGTAGATAATTGGATAAGTAGAGCAAAACAAGCATTGGGTAAAACTTTGGAGAGTTAAGGAAAGAGAGTAAACTCAATTCTCTTAGAAGAGGAGAATAGAAGCTCTCGTAGATAGTAGAATCTAGAAGAGGGGCCTAATAATTTAGGAGGGAAGACAAAAATAAATTCATTGAATCAGAGTTAAACTAAAGCTAATTTTGTTTTCCTAATATAGCAAGTGGCTTTCTTCTGAAATTTCTGTCATTATAGTAGAATGTGGAATAGGAATTGTGCTATTTTGCTTGTTGGGGATTTTCTTATGGAATTTTTTCATAAGATAACCCATGAAAGCTGTTGTATATTTTATAGTATATTCTTGATGTAAAACTTCATTGGTAATATACAGTTGTCAGTATGCAAACAAAGCTACAGTCATTCATTTGGCAGTTTGCAATGTAAAGCTTCATTACCTACACTTGTTCAGGTAATAATTTTGTATGACTTGAGTTCTCCATTTGTACACTGTGAGAAAAAGAAAATTTTGAAAAGAAGAAAAAGTTCTATTCAAGGTGGGGATAGTAGACCATTCCGGCTATTGGACATCCGGATTTCAGATTTTGTACTGCAGTTCTGTGTCCTAACATTATCGTTTGTAAATTATGTTAATTTCTGAATTGTATATTTATATGAACAAACATGACTTTATTAGCCATTGATTCAGATAATATAAAAACCTATGTGAAACATTTGTTGTATGATGTAATCATACATATTTATTTTAATGTAACTTTTTTCAATATTTTTAATATGCATCTGTTCTGATATGTCAAACTATTTGTATATAATTTTCCAGTGCTAGGTTTTTTGATAAGTATTTTTAGGCTGTATATAAATGTAGTGTACATATGTGCTTAAATTATAATTGCAATTTATATAACTATAATTCTGACTAAAATATGTTTTGAAAAAGTTTCTGCGAAACATTTAATATAGATTGCCTGCGTGTGTATAAATGAATTTCTGAAGTTCCCATCTTATATAGATAATGGTGTGATTATCCAAAATTAAACATTCCATAAATTTTATTCCATTTTAATTTTAAAAAATTTATTTAATTTGAAACTATACATTTTTATTTTTATTATTGTAGTAGTATTTTTTTCTCTTATCTAGATTTATATTGCAGAATTAATATTTGCGCTTCTTGTGTGTACAAGTGCCTTTTTCTTAATATTTCTTTAAAGTTCTAAGAATAAACATGTTTGATTTATAGGCAAATGATGAAATGTGTTAACTTTTGCTCATTAAACTTAATTAGCTGCCAAGTAATTTTTTACTGAATTTTAAATATCTTAACTTTACAAAATTGTGTGAAATTATAATGTATATTTACTATAGAAAATATTAAAGAATTTGTTTAGGCTTTACAAGTTAGTGTACTGTTTTATTACATTAATGGTAAAGATAGCAATTCTCTTAAGTTTTAAAATATTAGTTTCATTATATTATTGCATAAATCAGCAGTTCTCAACCTTTTGGCTAATGCATACCATCTAAACAAAAAAATGAAAAACTTTAGTACCACCACATTTAACAATGATTATTTTTCAATAGAAATATTAAGTAAAATCTATATATTGTCATTTGAACTAAGTATTGTCTATTTGTATTAAATATGCACACATAAAATTATATTAAAAATTGGCTACTGTTTTAACTATCAAAATTTAAGCTATAATACTTTAATTCTAAAGTTTAGTGTGAAATTTTGGCCTGTCAATTTCTTTATGTCTGGTTTTATTTCACTTAGTTTTAACTGTAAATTAGGATACACTTTTAATTTTATTCTGCATTTATTTTGCAAATATAACATGGAAGAAAATCCTTCTTCACACAAACAGGTTGTGCAAAAAGGCAATAAAAATTTAATAGCTTTATTTTAAATGTCTTTAGATTCTATTTTTCAGTTCAGCCAAAAGTTAATAATTGTATTGTTTTTGAAATTTTTTGAATTTTGAAACACAGGAAATTTTTGTCAAATGTTCTTTTCTTCACGACATAAAACATCAAGTACATCATAAAAAAATTGATTTCTAATTCAATTTTCTTTTTCATAATCCTTGGGAAAATACACGTTGAAATTTATTTATCAATGAAAAACAATGATTTTTTAATGTCTGATGTAATTCTTTTATTTTCAAATTATTTTAGGTTAGAAAACTTTCTAAAAGTGGTAAAAAGCTTGAAATATTATTATCCAATTCTTTGAATTTATTCTCTCAAGTTTTTTAATTGTTGCATTTATTTTATCTCTAATGATAAACAAATTAACACTTTATCCTTGTAATCCTAAATTTAATTAACTTTTCAAAAATATCAGATAATTATGCTAAATGCTCCATCCTTAAATTCACTAAATAAACATTTAATAAAGCTTTATTAAAGCTAGGCTTTTAATAAAGTTAACAATTTTTACGGCTTGATTCAAAATGGTGTTCGGGGATTGTTTTGGCTACTAAAGCTTCACAATGAATGGAGCAGTGAGTAAATTTAGTTTCAGGTGTGACTTTCTTTATTTGAGGAAATAACACCAGAATGTTTTCTTGTTAAAGCCCGAGCTCTGTCACTGCATGCGGCAATGCACTTATTCTAAGGAATATCATTCTCTGAAATAAAATTCTCAATTGCTTTGAAAATTTCATTTGCAGTTGCTCTATCATGAACTGATTCACAAAATAAATATTCTTCGGCAGTTCTCTTATCTTCTTCAAAATGCATGTAAACTAATAATTTAAAAAGTTCATTTATATAAGTACTTTCATCCAATTGCAATGCAAAATGCAAAATTATTTTTTAAATGTCTCTTTTATGGAAGTTGCCATTTCATGAATTCATCGACGTATTGTATCATTGGACAACAGAATATTATTAAGTTCATCAGCCACTTTTACGTTGAATAATGCTAAAACGATATCTTTAGCTGCTCGTAATATAATGTTTTCTCCTATAGTGTGAGCCTGCCTAGTCTTGGCTATTCATAGGCTCATTAGGTAACTTTCAGATTTATCCTTTAAATTGGCATGCTTAAATTCAAGATGTCTTTTAAGAAGCAATGGTTTCCTACTTTGATTGGATAGTAGTTCACCGTAAACAACACATTGAGGTTGAGGGTCCATTTCATCACCATTCCAAGTAAATCCAAATGATAAATAACTTTCATTATATTTTCTGTAAACATTCTTTTCTTTTCTTTTTAATATTCTTAGGGCTAGTAGATTGTTCCTGAATCCATCACTTGTGAATCATCACTTCTCAGCTTAGTCAATCCTAGCCATTTTTCCATTTCGAAAATGTAGGTTTATTTTATTATTTTTCCAAAAATATTTTAATGCTCAATATATGTCATAATAAAAACACAAGGAAAAAGACGGAACACTGTAGATGCGTGCTTAGATCCATATTGAAGAAGAAATTTGATTGCGTAGTATTTAAAGAACTTGGCAGTCGAGGCAGTTTTAATTCCATTTTTATTTCCAATTGATATTTGTGGCCACAATCACTTGGCACTCTAGTCGTGCCTTCCACAGAAGATTTACATTTTTGATATTGTTGAGAAAGCAAGCCAGCGAAATTACATCTTAGCAGAGTAGAGAGCTAAAGCTGAAGTGCGTAGTTATGAAAGATGGAAGCACGCGAAGAGAAAAGTTTTGGTTTACAACGACAGTTTCAGTTCTTAATTATTACGTCATCAGAGTTGCGCCGATCATAGAGTGATCTAGAAATGACGCAATGCAAAGAAGTTATTACGATTTTAGAATAGAGAGGAAGAATTAATGTTTATAGTTTAATCTATAATTTTGATTCATATATTTTTATCTTACATATTCCCCCCTTCAAAAAGAAAAAGGCGTAGCGACAGAGAAGCCTTTTTAAAGAAAAAGAGTTAAAGCACAAGCAAATTAAAAAAATATAAATAAATAATAAAATTTTGATCCTGTAAAGTATAATTTATAAATATCAATTTTTTTAAATAAATTTTTAATTTTTAGAGTCCTATTGAATTTTTCAGCATTTCAGTCCAAAAGTCTTTTTGTTTGAGAGTTCACATAATCACAATTCATCAGGGAAGGTTCTTGTTATTACAGAGTATCACAAAAACTTTTACATAATCATTTCTTATAATTAAATGTAATGCACATAAATATTTATGATACTTATTTCCATACTGATAAATTATAATTTAACATCATAAATAATAGGATTAAGATTTTCAGAATTTATGGTTTCACCGTTATCATCTTTCATTTACAATTCCTGATTTTACCAAACTGGAAGCCTCGCAATACTTCTAAACAAACATATCCATCAATAGGGCTGTCCTCTTGAGCTAACCAGTGTGTTCTCTGCACTAGTGGCCCAGGGTGCCTAGGCAGTTACTTGAAAAGACCTCCGTTCCTTGCATTAAGGTAACTGGCCTTTGAGAACTGCACTAATACATTTCATAATAAAAAAAATATAATAATAATATAAAAAATTTACATGCATTCATAAAATGAGAGCCTCCCACATTATCTTGCATGAAGAGGGTAAAAGAAACAACTGTACAGAGTAATTACAGGCCTCTGTTGAAGAACCAGTACACCCTCAGCATACTATACTTAACACACATAACCCATAAATTTTAACATGCATTTACCATAATTTCATATTACGTATCTGTAATAATTTCACTTATTTTTTACATTAACCCCATTTTTATAATAATTATAAAATGAGTATTCAAAATTCTCAACAAAATTTCAAAAACATAAAAACTTATCTTAATATCCTTCCCTATGAATAATTTAAATAGCTTAAAATTAATTACTTAATTTGCTGCTCACACATAATTATGAAAAATTAGAAAAATTAATGAATAAGAATTTCAGATTTTCTCAAAACAAATTGCAGAAATTTTAACCAATGTTTAAATGAAAACTATAGAATTCGCAGCACATTAAATAATTTAGCTCCTGAGCTAGGTTCACACGAATGTAATAATTTTTGAGCTGTTGAAAAAGCGGAAAGGAAGTGCAAATAATTTTCTGTCGCACATACTTGCAAAACCTAACTCAGATCGACCTTGAACCCGCTGTAATGCTGAACTCCTAAACGGTAATTCACTATGATTTAAAGCACTTTTTTTTTTTTTTTTCTAAATATTGTAGAGATCGGCGAAGCAAATTCCAATATTCCTTTTTTACTAGGCATTCGAACTTCTCATTTATCGAGAGATTACTTTCAGTCTGTAAACACTACGCGTGATTATTTTTTGAAGCATTGCAAAACCCACAGCAGAAGAATGATCTGTTATTTTTTTACACACTGAAGAAACAAATTTGATGATTCACTTCTTTCACATTATCTTGGATTTATCACAAAACGATGATTTGAAGAGCTTTTTTAATTTGCTTGTGCTTTAACTCTTTTTCTTTAAAAAGGCTTCTCTGTCGCTACGCCTTTTTCTTTTTGAAGGGGGGAATATGTAAGATAATATATGAATCAAAATTATAGATTAAACTATAAACATTAATTCTTCCTCTCTATTCTAAAATCGTAATAACTTCTTTGCATTGCGTCATTTCTAGATCACTCTATGATCGGCGCAACTCTGATGACGAATAATTAAGAACTGAACTGTCGTTGTAAACCAAAACTTTTCTCTTCGCGTGCTTCCATCTTTCATAACTACGCACTTCAGCTTTAGCTCTCTACTCTGCTAAGATGTAATTTCGCTGGCTTGCTTTCTATCTTAATATATAAAAAATGTAAATCTTCTGTAAAAAGGCACGACTAGAGTGCCAAGTGATTGTGGCCACAGATATCAATTGGAAATAAAAATGGAATTAAAACTGCCTCGACTGCCAAGTTCTTTAAATACTACGCAATCAAATTATTCTTCAATATGGATCTAAGCGCGCATCGACACTGCTCCGGCTTTTCCTTGTGCTTTTAATATTACATATATAAAAACAAACGATTCTTAAATCACGTAAAAAAAGTAAGGAATAGAAAGCAACAAGATTACAAAATACCTGCTGTTAGAGACAGCAAATTGACATTAAAAAATTATTCTATTTGAAAATTGAGCAATTAAGGCCTGGAAATGGTGATGATATAAAGTGTAGACATGCTAATAAATTGATTTTAATGAGATACTATTATCTTTTTATAGGAACTTATTTTTATTTACTTTTAAATACAACATCCATTTCTATTACTCTCTTTAAAAACATCATTTTAAGACAAATTTGTGTCTATGGCTAAAAGAATATTTGTAAAAATAAAAACTGATTATTTTGTTAAAGTCTGTGAGTGGCTATTGACCTTGAACATAGCTCAGATCGCATAAATTGACAAGAGAAAAAAACTTAAACAGGATGTTGGAATA